ATTTCTGATGATAAATTCCATATTTTTATTTTATATTTATCCAATAGGGTTTATTATTTAAGTTTATAATTGCATGTTAGTTATTTCAAAAGTGTATTAATAGAAGACAATACATTGTAGACTTATTTTGTACGGCGTAATATATAGGCAACATTTGTATATCATCGTGTTGAATAACAGTTATACCTTATAATTTTTAATTTATTTCACATATAGTGCTATATTTTATAAAACTTATTTTTTTATCATCGAAAACATCCATGACTGATCCAATTTAGAGATTAAATGACCTAAAGCAGGAAATTATTTTTTGTGAAATCATATAATAGTTCCACTACATAATTTCCATTAGATCCAAATTCATTATCGAGGTAATTATTGATTTTTCTTTCTGATAGATCGACGAAAAGTGTTAATAATATTTTTCTAATACAGTTAAAATAAAGAAGTATATTTTGAATCAATAACCTATTCCAGTCATCTGATAACCTTTAATATTCCAGCAAATATGATATTCGCTGGGCTAATAAAATTCAAAAGTTAGTAAGAATTAAGTTAAATAAAAATTATAATATTAATTATTAATACAATCATCCTTAAATAAAAGGATTCATTTATAAAARWACATAGTATCGTTTGAATATAACCAGTAACATCTTAATGTATTACATCGGTTATTTAATAACTAACATCATGAAAATCAGATAGTTTGATTTGAAATTGTATTTTATATTACGTGTATAAAGCGCTTTATATGTTGTATCATCTAACTATTACGTACGCTCTGTATTAAATTATTAAATTGTAGCGCTTATATTTTTTTCTTATGTTTTATACAGTAACACTCAAAACTATCTGATTTAAGTTATAATGTGTTTATACGTTTAATAATAAACACTGCTAAGCGATAACAAACATAATATATCGATATACAATTTATTGATGATAATATTTTTAAATATAAAGTTTTTATTTTAAGAATAAACAATGGAAGTGTTTCGAAGGTACAGAATTTTAAAGAAAAATAATACAAATATMAATTCGTTTAAAAACATGATTTTAAAAACAACTGTGTTTGATTAG